GTTGTTGTACTCTTTACATGTCGTTAACTGTGTTTACGTTGTTGTACTCTTTACATGTCGTTAACTGTGTTTACGTTGTTGTACTTTTTACATGTCATTAACTGTGTTTACGTTGTTGTACTCTTTACCTGTCGTTAACTGTGTTTACGTTGTTGTACTCTTTATATGTCGTTAACTGTGTTTACGTTATTGTACTCTTTACATGTCGTTAACTGTGTTTACGTTGTTATACTCTTTACGTGTCGTTAACTGTGTTTACGTTGTTGTACTGTTTACATGTCGTTAACTGTGTTTACGATGTTGTACTCTTTACATGTCGTTAACTGTGTTTGCGTTGTTGTACTCTTTACATGTCGTTAACTGTGTTTACGTTGTTGTACTCTTTACATGTCGTTAACTGTGTTTACGTTATTGTACTCTTTACATGTCGTTAACAGCGTATCAGAAGTCTTCTACAAAAGTGAAACATGTCATTGACTATACATGTACGTACATTGTCGTACTGTTCACGTTTATTGGATATCTAAATACTCAATCCATGTACAGTTTATTAGAAATATTTGGTGACAGAAAAAAAATTCTAGGAAAGTTTATTTTAAATTGATAGGTAAAGGACAGATTTCATGTCGATTGCCATGTGAGGTGTACGAAACTCCTCCGAAATAAGTGGTTCTGCTTCTGAAGTTACTGTGAAATCAGATATGTCATGGGTTTACCGATAAAACACCACTTCGTTGATACATTATTTCTTGGAATATGGTTACCATCTAAAACGCAGAACTGTTTTATATCAAACTACTACATATTCCGTGCACCCTTTAAAATCGTGGATGCCGATTACCCACGAAATTAACGAAATTCAAAACCCCACGAAAATTAGTGATTTCACAGTAAGTGAGAATTCTGATGCTTATTACTTTTGTGTTTCTGTTTCATGTTTACTCTGTTCTTCCTGGTCCTTTTTTTGTATTTACTTTGTTATCTTATCCTTTTGTATTTACGGTACTGTACTCTTTTATCTTTTATGAACCACAAATATTCTTACGTCGTATAGACCAATTTTTTATTTTTGCTTTTGACAAAATAAATGTAACCTAACAAATATGTTGATAAAATCTAGGTGTGTAAATTATGCAGTGAAATACTTCCTTGCTAGCTTTTTCTCTTATCGCGAATTCTTCCGCATTCTTTATTAGATGCAGTCATTCGCTACCTTACTTTCATAAGGAATTAAAATTTCGATCTGATGATAACAAAAAAGGGGAAGTAACTCGGTAATCGTAGACTTCATTTCATAACTCAATTCCGAAATCGTTATTCAAAATAGTTTACGAAATCGCAGCATATATTGAGAGGGATACATTGTAAAATAATATTTAATTCTTCTTTAGTTAATGAAATACAAACGACATTTTACGAATTTGTTTATTGTCAAATTTCCCATGGCAATCAAGTAAACAAGTATTTGCTTACAGCTTAAGTTACGGCTCATTTGATTAACCGTTGGTCTTGTTACATAATCTCATTTCAACTGTTGTGAGATTAGAAATGTCAAACAGTGAAGTATGATCTCAATAATAATGTAGAAATTTATATAAACATGATCAAACGTACAGGTACATATGTATACCTGTCTGAGTTGTATGTCAGTATACTACTATAGCGAGTTCATATATTTGTTCATTAGTTTCTAAACAACATATATGTAAATGTATATTGTTAATACATGTATCAAATACAAATGTATAAAATAACTTTATTGTTGATTTGGAAAATGATTTTGAAATGTTGGGTAGTGAAAAAAGCCATTCTCACATACACGCAGAGAAATCTCGTATGAAATATGTTTTGCTATCATTTTTTCCAACGACAGTGGAAATAGATAAAGAGGAAACACAGTAAATGTATGTTAAGTATTGTTGGTTTGTGTAATTATCATTTTATTTCATGGAATCCAATTACTAATAACTATATCTATATAATATCTAAAACATCCGTCACTAATAATTACTACAAAGATGAACGTGGTCCACACAAAAACGCAACCCAAATCGCACACACACACACGCACGCACATCCTCACAAACACATACGCACGCACATTCTCTCTCTCACACAAACACGCACGCAAATCCTCTCACACACACACGCACACGCACACACATACGCACTTAAACACCACCAGGAGTTATGAACATGAAATAACAAATTCTTGGCTATTTTCAGTAAATAACAATGTGATTGTTTCAATTAGATAAGATACCCCCCCCCCCCCCCCGCCCCCACACACACACACTAAAAACCGGTAAAATAACTAGAAAGAATACAAGCAATATTATACATAATGCCTACAATATGGTACATGATGCCTACAATCTGATACATGATGCCCACAATATGATACATGATGCCTACAATATGATATATGATGCCTACAATATGATACACGATGCCTACAATATGATACATGATGCCTACAATATGATACATGATGCCTACAATATGATACACGATGCATACAATATGATACATGATGCCTACAATGTGATACATGATGCCTACAATATGATACATGATGCCTATAATATGATACATGATGCCTACAATATGATACATAATGCCTACAATATGATACATGATGCCTACAATATGATACACGATGCCTAAAATATGATACACGATGCCTACAATATGATACATGATTCCTACAATATGATACATGATGCCTACAATATGAAACATGATGCCTACAATATGATACATGATGCCTACAAAATGACACATGATGCCTACAATATGATACATGATGCCTAAAATATGATACATGATGTCTACAATATGATACATGATGCCTACAATATGATACATGATGCCTACAATATGATACATGATGCCCATAATATGATACATGATGCCTACAATATGATACATAATGCCTACAATATGATACATGATGCCTATATATGATAAATGAGGCCTACAATATGATACGTGATGCCTATAATATGATATATGACTAAATTGGATACCGATATAGAAGACATTTGTTGCTTTTAAAAAAGTGTTTTATGCCGTCCTGATAGATTGTAAGTTGCACTTAGGAAAGGTGATGTCTTTGTATGGGAACACGACGAATCTTCCTAAAAGAATAATCTACCTGCTTACCTGTTATGTGGATTATACACGTAACTACAGCCTCAACGATCATATAGTAACGAACTCAGACCAAAAACATAATCAACGGCAACACGGCCAGAGGTTAAAATAGATTTGTATTTTAAAATGCTTGGCAAATGGCTTAATGACAGTATGACAGTATCGGGTTTTATATAGAAGTTTCTAGCATAAAGAAATATATATTACTTATGGCAATAACGAATCTCTCGTTACAGTAAGTTTGGTTTACAGGGAGACAACTCGCACGACTTTAGCTGATTGACTAGAGCATTGCTGGCTTCTCACAAGGTGACCTCGCTGTCGAAATAGGTATATAGCCCACACTTAAAGTTAATTGGGCCACATTTATATTGATACATCAGTCATTAGATCCAAAACTAACTCTACGATCAGCTGAAGCCGTAAACGTCAGTGGTCCGAGGATTATTCATAAAGGTAAACTGCGGCCTTGCTGGTGTAGGTAACAAAGTGAACAGTGAAATGTATTTGGTTTTAACATCGTGATACTGGTAGTAGTTCGCCTTCACGGATAGGATTTATTTTACATTTCAAAAGAATAGTTGAAAAATCCTTCGTTAATACACGGAATTAGTTCGTGGTTAATATCATTGTTTAATCATATATAGAAATAGATTATGCGAATGATTTTTTTTTCTATAGCTTTTCAATCCTATATCTCAAAGAATTTTTGTCAGGACATGTTTCGTTTTGTAATCACAAAAACATTGACTTTTATTTGTCAGATACGTCTCACAATAAATACTAAAATACTTCACCAACTGATTTGTTATCTGTTTGTTGCGATCGCTTGTGTAAAATGTGTTTCCTGTACCACACACACATAAATATGTACATATTGATGTTTCCTGTACAACACACACATAAATATATATATTGTTGTTTCCTGAACCACACACACATAAATATATATATTTTGTTGTTTCCTGTACAACACACACATAAATTTCTATATTGTTGTTTCCTGTACAACACACACGTAAATATCTATATTTTGTTGTTTCCTGTACCACATACACATAAATATATATATTGTAGTTCCCTGTACAACACACACATAAATATCTATATTTTGATGTTTCCTGTACAACACACCCATAAATATATATATTTTGTTGTTTGCTGTACAACACACACATAAATATATATATATTGTTGTTTCCTGTACCACACACACATAAATATCTATATTGTTGTTTCCTGAACCACACACACACATAAATATATATATTTTGTTGTTTCCTGTACCACATACACATAAATATATATATTGTAGTTTCCTCTACAACACACACATAAATGTCTATATTTTGTTGTTTCCTGTACAACACACACATAAATATATATATTGTTATTTCCTGTACAACACACACATAAATATCTATATTGTAGTTTCCTGTACCACACACACATAAATATATATATATTGTTGTTTCCTGTACAACACCCACATAAATATCTATATTGTTGTTTTCTGTACAACACACACATAAATATCTATATTTTGTTGTTTCCTGTACAACACACACATAAATTTCTATATTGTTGTTTCCTGTACAACACCCACATAAATATCTATATTGTTGTTTTCTGTACAACACACACATAAATATCTATATTTTGTTGTTTCCTGTACCACACACACATAAATATATATATTGTTGTTCCCTGTACCACACACACATAAATATATATATTGTAGTTCCCTGTACAACACACACATAAATATATATATTGTTGTTTCCTGTACAACACACACATAAATACATATATTGTTGTTTCCTGTACAACACACACATAAATATCTATATTGTTGTTTCCTGTACAACACACACATAAATATCTATATTTTGTTGTTTCCTGTACAACACACACATAAATATATATATATTGTAGTTTCCTGTACAACACACACATAAATATATATATATTGTTGTTTCCTGTACAACACACACATATATATTTATATATATTGTTGTTTCCTGTACCACACACACATAAATATATATATTGTTGTTTCAGTCACTCCTAAATCTTTATTTTTCTTGATGCCAAAGAAATAGAACATAAAAGCGAAGAACGCGTATTGAAGTTTCTTCCATTAGTTAATATTTATCATTATGTCTAACCCCTTTCACCTAGAAGAAGAACCTAGCCTTTTCTTTTATCCCAAAACATTATCGAGCTTTTGAGGCATCTTTCCTACTGTGTTCTTTTGTGAGTCTTTGTTCAACTTTTTTTCTTTGTCTCCGTCGTCCGATGTGTCATTCGTGTTTTCTCAGTATCATAACGTTGTTTTCGGTTTTACTTGCGATATAGTCAGATTTCCCTAGTAGGCAGTACTTGTAAAGTATGGTGACGATGCCCCAGTTTTATCCAATCGTTTTCGTGTCATGTTTGTTCAAGCCAGAAAGTTTGATAAATATTGGTGTGAGACCTAAGTGGCAAAATTAACCTGACTATTATTGGTTTTCTGCCTATTTTATCCAATCGTTTTCGTGTCATGTTTGTTCAAGCCAGAAAGTTTGATAAATATTAGTGTGAGACCTAAGTGGCAAAATTAACCTGACTGGTATTGGTTTTCTGCCTTTTTTATACCCGGAATGTTTGCAATGTGAATGTGTTATGTTTCCTGACACCCCAAATTTAAGTCGTCTTTTTTCCCAGTGTGTTAACAATTACAGTTGTTTTTGACCTGTTTATTTAACCCCGAATCGCTCATGTTCTAATGGTTTCCGACCTTGTGATGTCGTTTCTGCTACACTGTAAGCGTATATACAATAGTTGTTAAATATGTACCGAAATGACTCGATTCAGCTACACTTTGTTTTATACTTGGTCATAGATGTGCGAGAGTGTATGAGCTCTCTCATAGCTATTTAGAACTGGCCCACTACGGCTTTTCTATATTGTTTTTCTTTATTTGCCGCTTGAACAGATTTTTCTCTCTGTCCAATACTGAGTTGTTTAGAAACGTTTGCGTGTAACCTCACTAGTCAAAACTAGTTCGTCCAAGCGACACATGTCATTTTGGTTTTAATTACAATAGGGAAAAGCTTTTGAAACAAAACCCATTATTTTTGCATTTTTCGTTAAAAAATATACGCGTATGTGTATGGTTAATGGCAATGAAGGAAGATTTATAACATTGCTGCAGTCTTGGAATTAGGTATAATTAGTTGCCTTTTAGTATCCTTTGGGTATTTGATCATGCACAAAATTGTGATTAAACTAAAAGGGGTTCCAGATGAGGGCGCCATTATCATAAGCAATATGGTCCTTTTTTGTTATATTTGTATTGAAACTATCGTACAAAGACAACAACAAAATAACACACAAATAATTATCAATACATACGTTGTTTTATTCTGTGTAGTATTGATTACAACAGAAATATATTGGTTTCATGCGAAGCATACACTAAGGAAGTCTGAAGCCGGAGAAAGTAGTGAGGTGAGGTTGGATGTCCGAATTGACGGCGTGTGCGGCTACTCTGACCCACACTTCATCATTCACGGCTAAGTCAACCACAGCAGTAGAGGAATCGGACACGGCCGTTCTGGTGCTACCTAACTCCTCTGATCCAACGCTTTGGCCGTTTCGAACGAGTTCGGTTATGATGTAGTGGGACTCTGCAAGAAGTGTCTGCCATGAAAACACGTGCACGCCAGCTCGACTGCACGTGAACACGCCGGTGAAGTTGCTTATGTGAGCGTTCACGTTAGTTATGACATTGTCAAAAGATATCTTCTGACTTATCCCGGGACTTACCAGGAGTTGGCTGAGAGTAGTGTAGAAGGCAATGGTACCCGGTGATGAACCTGAAAGACAAAACAAACAGAAATGTAATGAATTATATGTCTTAGCATGCCCAATATATATATATATGTATATATAAGTGATATGCCATAGAACATCAAACAGAAATGTATATAAACAATATGTCTTAGAACAACCAACAGAAATGTATGTAAACAATTTGTCTTAGAAATGTATATAAACAATATGTCTTAGAACAACCAACAGATATGTATATAAACAATATGTCTTAGAACAACCAACAGAAATGTATATAAACAATATGCCATAGAACAACCAACAGAAATGTATGTAAACAATTTGTCTTAGAAATGTATATAAACAATATGTCTTAGAACAACCAAAAGATATGTATATAAACAATATGCCATAGAACAACCAACAGAAATGTATGTAAACAATTTGTCTTAGAAATGTATATAAACAATATGTCTTAGAACAACCAAACAGAAATGTATATAAACAATATATCTTAGACACCAAACAGGAATGTATACATACAATATATCTTAAAACATCAAACAGAAATGTATATAAACAATATGTCTTAAAACATCAAACAGAAATGTATATAAACAATATATCTTAGAATACCAAACAGAAATGTATATAAACAATATGTCTTAAAACAACCATACAGAAATGTATATAAACAATATGTCTTAGAAAACAACAAAACAAAAGTCTATACGGATGTAATAAATTGATGACCAAATCGAACTGGCTTTACGGGAACATATTTACTTCATTTACATAGTAATGTATACCAGAGTTATTTAAGAATTTCTAGAACTTTTAAAATGAACAGAAAATGAAATACTAGTACTGTTGGATGTCATGTTCATACTAAGTTGATTATTTAACAGCATTTACGTTTGTGAATGACCGAGTCGAAAAACGATTTCTTTATTATTATGATATTTTTCAGGATCCTTATAGGCAGTTAGATATTTCCTGTATTGTTGTTTTTATTTCCGGTAATAAGTGTTTACAGTTAAATTTGAGGTTATGTTTCTAACCTTTTTTAGCGTCAGATTAATAGGAACATTTCAATATCAGCTTTTGCAACTTAATGCCTCTTGGAAAACAATTGTCTCAATATGTAACACTTACCTGAGCGTTGCATTTGGATGGAGATTGATTTCGGAGGACGTTGGTTAAGAGTGCTTGCTTTCTGTATTGCCGAATGAGATTGAGATTCGGATAGTTGTGCGCGATCGTTAAACTTTGACTTCATGTGTTTGTTTTCTGCGATTAATGCGGTGATTTCATCACTCAAATGTTTAATAGCTTGAGTATCTTTCTCGCGTAATTGTTGCAGTTCAAACACACCTTCAGAAAACTTGTGACCGTCCTGTTCGCGAAAATATTCTAATTCCTCAACACGTTTCACAAGGTCGGCTAAGCCATTTAGGTGTGAGGTTTTTATATCTCTAAAATGATTTGCTAAATCACCAAAGAGAAACATTTGCTCACCTAGCTCTTTAGATGTGGTTAATGAGAACAATACCCCTACCATCATTACAAGCGAAATATTTCTCTTAAACATGATGAGACAACACTGGGAAGAACTCACTTCACAATGACCAACGTTTTCTATATGAATAATTCGTGAGACAAGGTAACATAAAAAAAAAAAACGCCAAGTGTTTGTTCCGATAACGTCGTGGGTGTACATACAGGTGTTTACTGACCGATATTAAAACCTTCACCTTGATCCGTTATTAAAGCGGACATGTGCATCATGTGTATGTGGACGACAGTATGCTTGGTATATGTTACAAATTAATTAGTCTCATTACATGTACAACGAAGACAAGAAAGAATAACTTCTCTTTGTTTATCACATTTATCATTGTCATTGTGCATTGGCGTTATGATGAATTCTGCCTTTGACATTTGTCGCTGTTTCATATTTTGTCCTTGCTATGCAAATTATCGTGAACATTGACGTTGTAGTAAACAAATGTGAGTGTGTTTGCGTTATGGTAAAATTTATCACTAAAAGTTAAAGCATAACAAATGTTGCCGTTGTGGTTGAGCAATAAACTTAGCAGGCATCGTCAAAGGACTTTTCCTGTTTATGTTGCTTTAATGTGTCTCGTGTAAGGTTCTGCTTGTGATATCTATTGCGGAAAAGGTGACCACAAGATAACCCTCAACCCCAAGGAGTTAGGAATTGTGCATTTTACATTTGTTGATGTCTTAAGATTTCGAAATATGCCCTACTTATGCTATCTATGGCGGTCCAGGTTACCACATGATAACCCTTCACCTGCAACAGTCCAGCAACGTGCATGCTTTGAATTATATTCTACTTATAGTAACTATGGCGTAAAAGGTGACAACTCGATTACCCTCCACCCACAAGAAAACCCTAATTTTCAGTCTCTACAACACTGATCAATACAATAATGTTGACAGTCTTAATTTGAACTGTATATGTTGTAAACACGTTGCTTTATTTAAAAAGTGACAATATACACTCTACCATAATTCTGCTAATCATTCTATCGACAACGTATGATAAGTTTTTATGTTTGTGAATTTGAGACATTTTGTGTTGATGCTGTTACATATTTCCCCCCAGATATGTTGTTACTATGGTAAAAAGACAAAAGGCAGTTAAGAATTAAAGTGTCCACAAGTACTTATTCGATGCACGAAATGTGCGTGGTGGAGGATATCAAACGTGTCTATAGCCGACAAATTTGAGGTCTGTGCCGATAGACCACATAAACATAGGATGTTGAATTCTCCTGTTGCACCATTTGTGCCTGATTGTCACAAAACAATAACTCAACAATTTCATAAATTGCAACGGCACGACCACGCCGCGTACTGAGTTTATTACAAAAACACATTGCATCCTCAATATACATACTCGATTCAAATCCTATCAAATTCAATGTACATCAACATCAATAGCGTTACTTTGCTATACTTATCATAATCGCGTATCAGTTTCGTTAAAGTGATACAATGAGGAAATATCCTCAAAAATTTAGAAAATCTGTGCGAACGTGTCGACGTGGTCGCTCTGAATGACCACCTTACACCTTACACACCCACCCGTGCGACACAAGCACGGACTCTACATGCTGCCTCATGCAGCACGCATACGACAGGAGAAAACAATTTCAGTCTAATTCGTACCTCAAACGAATGAAATTATATCAATCAACCACTCGTGTGACAAACTCGGTATGATAAAACCTATCATAAAACTTACAGTAAGGGGATTGTCAGGGTGGATTCCTACTGAAGCACGTGTTTATGTAACATTAATTGAGTCTTTTCCACAAAGGTTTGGGCACAACACATTCCATAACAATTGTGATGCCTTAATGAATTGGGAGGCACGGTAGTGTAGTGGTAGGACGCCGGGCTCCTGACCGAATGGTTGTGGGTTCGAGTCACGGCACGGCACTGTATTGTATCTTTGAGCAGGATACTTTACTACGCTTGTACCAGTCTACTTATGAGTATGTTGTTAGGCAGTGCTAGAATTGTAGGGAATAATAATTTGTGATCCGCTTTGAGACGACCTACCAACTAGGTTGTGTTAAAGCGGTATATAAGAACATCGAATTATTATTATTATTACTTTTATCCTAACATACTGAAGACTCATTAGATATACGAAGTAAGGGGCAATCTAAATGAAGCCTTTTGTTTGTTGTTGCCGAAAATCAAACAATGTTAATATTTTCAATATAATAGGACCATTTGTCCATTTAGTAATCATAAGTAGTTCTAGGGTCTAAAATGGAGGTGAAAATCCACGTGAATTTTTTTTTTATTAGTAAACATGTAGAAATACTTAAAAAAAGAAAGGTACGAATTAGTACTTGCATCACATTAACAAATTTAAAAATATTTTTTAGAAAAGAAACTATTCTTCAACTAACTTTTCATGTAAATCAAAAGAAAATGTATTTATTCCGTGTTTGTTTTGTTTTTTGTTGAAAAAGGACTGTGAGTTTTTCTTTAACGTTAAAGAAAATACATTTAGAAATAAAGCCGATCCCTGAATGTTATTTAACATTTAATTTGTTGTAACGATTACTGAACAACCATATAGCAATTAGCCGTATGGCAATAAAGTAACTCTTTAATTAGTAGTAACAATGACTAAACCAATTATAAAAATGTAAAATATCCCCCCGGCAATATAGTTACACTTTAATTAGTAGTAATAATTACTAAACCAATAATAAAAATATCAATTAGCATCCCGGCAATATAGTAACACTTTAATTAGAAGTAACAATTACTAAACCAATAATAAAAATATCAATTAGCCTCCTGGCAATATAGTAACACTTTAATTAATTAGTAGTAACAATAACTAAACCAATAATAAAAATATGAAATAGCCTCCTGGTAATAAAGTACAATGTATCTATTTAACTAGTAATATGTAATTTACTGAACACAATAGAATTATGTACAGTTTATTATGTGTTGGCACTATTCTATGAAAATGAGACATCTTTACTGAAGATTAATGAATACATTTTAGATTCTATTTTTTAGTTCTGCATATTTAAAGTTGACAAGCCGTTAAATGTAGCATATCAGTAGTTAAAGGTCCTACACCTCTTTCGCCCACTGATAAGAATCTGTAGAAATGCATGTGCGCGCTTTGGTATAGTTACAGACATAGACCATGTACAGCGTCGCATAGCAGACATCGGTCTATTTATTCAAGACAAAGTCATGTTGTTAGTTTTTCTTGCCGTCGTTGGGATAAGTTCCCAAGTCGTGTTTAGTGAAGAAACGTCCGATGGTTTACTCGGCAGTAACATGTCTCCGACATTGGTGAATCTGGCGAATCAGTTCAACGACCTGAAAAATACGGTTAAATACTTTGAGGCTTCACGCATCAAGTTTACTGAAGAACTGAGTGAGCGTGTTACAGACCTGGAGCGGGAACGTGCGGCGGATGTGCGCTGTGTTGACAAAAGTCTCACAGACTTGAAACATTTACACGATAAAGACAGACAAACTATTCTTAATTTGACAGAAACAGTGCAATCCTTGAAATCAGAAAACATGGCTTTAATGACAATGCTGAATGACGAAGTTCCACCAGCCCAGGAGGATAGTCCTTATTCTTCAAGAGTAGTTCGGGGAGTACAAACAGCCTACGACTATGTAAATACTCGGACAGGTATGGTATTAGTTCTTGTATTTCTTGCTTACAGTTCTAATATTATTTCGATGCACGCCATGTTTTGGTTGAATTGTACATCTAAAGAATTGTTCTGTCTGGCGTATTTAACTGTGTATGAAAATCACTAAGTTCTTTGTTATACACAAATTATTTACAGTGTAAATACACTATTTAATAAACATGTTTTAAATAAGATTACATAGTTCTTTACGATAAAGATAACCTAATAAACTGTTCCAGCACACACTATTTTGGCTAAACAAATATATTTTCAACAATGTCATCATTAAAATTCATATTTGTTTAAGTGCAACAAACTAGTATAATTAGAAATACAGTTTTTGTTATTTTTGCTGGGATATATTTAAGTTGTTTATCGTCATTCCGGAATGTAGAATTAAACGATGATTGTTTCATTAAATTAAAAAGTAAGTTCACATCTTTGGTCAAACCGAATTTTGTCAGTTGTTTTAAAAATTATAGTCTAATCTTATTAATTAATTGAATTACGAAGAAAATCAATTTTAAATCGAAAATACGAGATGGACATTCCAAATATCATGCGAAGACAGGCCGCGTCTCTCTCCTTATGGGGTAAAATATTTCCTTGAGGACTGACATTTAAGAATGAAGTTCAGAGTTTAGGAAAAAGAGTAAACGGTGTTAGCATTTTGAAAAAAAAGAGTTAAATTCTCTATGTATATAATCAATATATAAAACTAAAAACTTCTGTGCCGAGCCAAAATATGAAATGTCGACATTTTCTATTCTGTTTTTTCAGGTTCATCTGAGGGAACTGTTGCGTTCCATGTTCTCCTTACTCGTCCCCTGCTAAACCCAGGTTTACACCAAACCATTGTCTTCGACAAGATCACCACGAACGTCGGCGCTCAAATCAGCAACAACACCGGAGTTTTCTCCTGTAATCAGCCTGGTGTTTATGTGTTTTCGTGGCAGGTCCTTCTACAAGGTTCGCAATATATGATCTCCGAACTAACTAAAAACGGTATGAGAGTTGGGTCACAAGAGATAGGTAATACTCAAAACACGGTATCGGGATCCTCCACCGCGGTAGTAGAGTTGGATAATGGTGATGAGGTATGGGTAAGTATCGCTGCTCACTCACAGGGATCTGGTGTTGAGCCACACCTCACTATGTTTGCAGGGTTCCGACTGCCATAGTGCAGATATGAGCAAGACATTGTGTTATATTTTCTTGTTACACGACTCAGGATGAAATAAAAACTGACCAGGATATTAATGCGTTTTACTTATGTTGGAATGATTTAAAAACACGCAAACAGTTCAATTCTAAGATGCGTTCCTATTGAAAATTGAAACCATTTGCAAGTTTACGAGCGTTATGATATTATCATTCATCATGCCCTGGTCAGCCGTCGCCCGTCTATAGATTGTTTTTTTTAGTGGACAAATCTGTACTGCTGGAACTCCTGTTTACTGTTATATTTCTGTATGTTAAATCAACATATCTAAAAGAGCAGTTGAGGAGAAAATTAAGAGTTCTTGTCAAATTATTAATCGTCATGAAGAACCCATGGTTGTTCCTAATATTTTTGCAATTGAGGAATTTCAATTTGAAAAAATATACATTCATATCTGGCGTGATACATGTAATCATTTGAGTAGTGTTTTATAATTCTCCCTGATGACTAGATCTCTACAGTTCAGAACCGTATTAGTTTGTAGTTGTACTTCACTTGCATTGAAGTCTTAGCTATGTTTTCTATTAATTATTTACTATACATTGTATGAATTGATATTAATTATGATAATTATTCCAATGCATCATTGTGACATGTAGACAAGGATTTAAGTTAGAATATTATTTGTCACACATTGAACTACTTCTATGGATTTGTTTTGGACAATTTCAGGGTAAAGTTGATTATTACATTTTTGTTTATAATTGTTGTTAATTTGAAGTGTTATTATTTTGTTGTTGTTATTTTTACCTATACTTCGGAATACAACAGATCATCTCTTATTCTTTTTACCTGACGCACCACTTATGAATCTTAAAAGGACGAAATGATCATAACGTGCGGTAAAAGTATTGATACTTTGTTCAGCTATATGCTCTGGCTTACACAACTCTCATCTGGTATTTAATTTTGTATTTCTACTGATTATTCAAAAAACTTATTTAACCAGGAAAAACACTTCACTGAAAATGTGTCGTATGATCTTGTTCTTCCAGTCCTACATATGTGTATTCGTAATCTTCTTTTTCTAGTATTGATATACAATATATAGAACATATTTACTTAAGCATTAAATATGCTATATTGCAATCCAAGCAATACAATCAAAATTGAATCAGAATGTTGTTTAGTATTGCAAAATAATTTACGAAAATGATTTCAAAAGTTAATAAACAGTTTGTAGTATTTGTCAAACCTACACGTACCCTTTTCATCGTTATATTTTTTAAAGTAGAAACGTTTATCACAGATTCAACGCAGATAGCGCAGATAACACATGGCCTTATTTATTCGATTCCAGCTTATGTCAGAAAAGTAAAACGCTTCCAATACTTTGCGACACAGTTAAAGTGTTAAAACAACACTGATTTAACCATGATACATACTTTATTACCATGAAAAACAGCCGAATGAATATCATAAAACATAATACTAGATATGTGTTTTGAGGTGAGCTAAATTTCCTTATGCAACTTACATGGCAGCAGCAACAAAAACACACAAATAGCAAAAATCAAGTTGTATTAAGTTAATGAACCTATCAATAATCATTATACCAAATTATTTCTGTAAAAAAGGGCTACATAGATATAATTATCGTGTGTGCTAAGTTTGCTATCAGTCCCTATAAAGATTTATATCAGCTAATAAATATCTTCAATCGTTATCGTGTCAGTTACGTGTACCGCCGTGGTAGCTTCTCGCGACTGATATACCCTCAGATATGTGCCGACAGATATTTCAAAATCTGGAAATCATTCAGGAGGATGGCTTCAAGGGTCTGATGTTCTAAAAGGTGCTCCACTGAGTTATTTCAAAGTCTTAGCGACTCTGGAAACAGTCAGATGATAGGTACAGTGGTTATTTCCTCTGACAGGCGATCTTGTGAATGACTACAGAGTCTGTATTGGCTGATAAACATTCCTATCGGTAACTATAGAGGTCTTTGCTGCTGACAGGCCTCAGGGTTGGTTACTTTGATTGCGTGTCGACTACCTTTCCTGTAAAAACAAAAAAAACAAAAGTCTGTAAAAAAAAGTGAAACTCGTCCAAATATTGTCCATAGAACTTAGGATGAATATCATATTATCCCCCTGTATAGTCTATGGAGCCGCAGGTATAGCTTATCTTTAACATTTGACATAGAATATGCATATTATTAGTATAAAGCCGAGCTATAAATTGTTAGTCTGTGTTTTTGATTGCTATTGACTAAGGAGCAATGGTATTTTATGTAGTGAGCAATAACGCAATGAAATACCAAGGATTATATTGGCACATATTGCTGTATTACAAGGATTGAACGTGTCGGTCGACACCCCGCCACAGTACATAAAATGTGAACAGGTTTTTATGGGCGTTTAAGAAAAAGTACATGCTGGAGATTTTTATAGACTATTGAAACATGATTCATTCGGCGACCTTTTGTTTGCATGAACCAAATCTATCTCCGAAAGAATAGGTTATCAAACACGGAAAATGGAAATGTGAAGGTCATGTCAGCTGTCGTCTAGGTTTGTCGTCAACACCTTTAACTTTCACATGTAATTCTGAGAAAGGAAGTAGTTGTTGTCTAGGTCAACTTAGGACATATTACGTGAGAACCGTTTCAGACATGGTTTGAACGATCCGGGTGATAACACTGGCGTTTTATTGAAATCTTATCGTTGCCATTCATGGCCAAATATAAAAATATTTGAATACATCTATTTACAAGTATTTGCAAATTTGGTTTTCAAATAAAATTAAAGAAAAACACAAAAAAAAACCACCTATACAATATCCTGTAAATGTGTTAAAATTTGTACAAAGAGGAGAGCCGCTGACACTATAATATATCAGACCTTGGAAGTTTTTAAATTGACATATAGTCCACAATTGCATGCATAGCATTTCCTGTGTATAATTAAAACGAATTTAACAAAATATTTCACGAAGTCAAGATACATACAATAAACTCAAAATAAAATAGATGCAAAAACCTTGACATTCACTTCGAAAATAATTCTCTAAAGATACGTCACTTACATGCAGGCAGCCACCTTCAGCATGCACCTGTTGTCATACATGACACCGTCTGAGCCACACACAGGACGGTAGTGTACGGTGCGTATGGAGCATGCCTTCCTCATCCGACACCCCTTCTGAAAACTAGACAGTTTTCTCCGTGACTGACGACCTCTTCGTCCTACTCTCTTTATATGGTCCCGCTTCCTCTTAAGTTTATTCATACGTCTTGAATGGCGATGTAACATTGCATCAATATTGGGGATGACTGTTTCGTCGACATTTTTCTTTTCAGCGATTTTCATATCGGAAAGCTCATTGTTTCGAGAGAGTTCGTCCTGGTGCTGTTCCGTTCCTTGTCCTTTCGGAATGTCGTGTAGCTCAGGTTTACTCCCGATGTTGTGGATTGCGATTTCGTCGAAATGCTTGTGTACCCTCAGCCTCCTGTTATTCGTGTGAGATCTGTGTCTGGTCTGTCTGGTGTCCGCCCCAATGTGTCGGTACCAGGGCTGACGGACTGGCTTGGGCTGAGTGCCCTCTGTGTGAGGAACATTCGGTGGGGGGACGACAGCAGTTCTTCTGGTTAATGCAGTTCTGTCTGCAGTAACGTGTTGTGATTGCTTCCGGTGAAAATCTCTACCATGTGGCATTCTGACAGCTGATATAACTGAAATGTAACGAACTGTCATATTATATCACTTTCGATAAATCTTTGATGGGGTTGGGGGGTCGGGTGGGGAGTCATTTGTCATATTCTGATGGCCTTTTTCATCTCTATATTTTCTTCAAGTTTTATGTGTAATGTGTTGTATGATGCAGGTGAACGATACAACGCTGTATATGTTAATTTTCAAATTGCTACTCTCAGTGTAAATTTTTATAAGGAGGACCGCTCTCAATATGGTAAACTAATCCCACTGGCATTTAAAACCTGGTTCTATACCTATTAAAAGTCCGGCACTGAAAATGTTCCGCAGAAAAAGTTATTAATTAAATTAATTTACCAGCATGTGTATACACACATGGGCGATTAGTTTATTCATGAATTGATAAGATTAAACGGAAAGTCATGGAGATTTGGTCATTCTCCATGTTTACAAATGAATGTATACAATATTCATCGCCATAGCGAACACATGTATGTGTGTACAATTTCTAATTTAAACATGGATCAGGTAGACACAGTGAGTTCTTCTGAAAAGATGACGACGCATTTACCGGGTACAGATATTTATAACATGGCATGCCGCCCTCGTTGGTTCATTATATCAATACTACGTTTATGTACTTTATAAACAGCTATATATACCAAGATCTACAAATGAACTTGTCATAATCTATTTATGTACCAGATAGAACCCTTACCATCCAGACTTCATTAAAGGACATGTTTGCCTACGTTAATTTAGTATAAAGATAGTCTTACCAGACACATGAACATGTCGTAATATATATTTACCAGATAGAACTATATTTTAACCAGACTTTATTGAAGGACATGTTTTCCTATGTTAATTTACTATAAAGAAAGCCATCCAGACTCTACAAGTGAACATATTGTTATCTATATATTTACCAAATATAACTATATACTAATCAGATTGTATTAAAGGACGTGTTTTCTATGTTAATTTATTATAAAGATACCATTCCAGACTTTATTTATTTACCAGATAGAACCCTATACTAACCAGACTTTACATATGAACATGTCGTAATTTATTTATTTACCAGATAGAACCCTATACTAACCAGACTTTATTAAAGTACCTGACGTCGTTGTTTATTTATTTTACCAGAGAAAGGCCACCAGGTACACTAAACACTTGTATAGATAGGTCGACCTGAGAACGACTGGCATACCTAACAATGAAGCATTTTATATAAGTAGAATACAGGCGAAGCTGAAAGGAGGCCTTATCTAAGTTCAGTCGGAGATAATATCACCCTACCTCACCGTGTCAATAGTTTGTCAGCTGGTGGAAATATCCGATGTGATTCACGATTTTAAATCTGTATTAATCAATCATATCTAGAAATTGTATTTAGACTTCGTACGCATTGGTTTGAGTCAATGTAAATAACTCTTTAAGAGGTAACACGAATTGAATTAAGACAACTCATCAATCTGCTTCGTGTGTCAAGTGAACCAAGCCTGACCTCTCTGTTTGGCTACACCAGTATTGTCCTTTGTCAACCGATACTGAGCCAGACGTGTACACTGTTGTATCGGAACAAAACGTCGTTGTTTTTCTCACAAGTTATCTTGTATTGTAGGCAAATTGTTCACCTACTTAATAGCCTTACATCCCAGTAAAACGCGTTTATGTAGGATTTTAATTTGAATATTCATTGAAAAGGTGTGCACAACGTTGCCTTCTAACAATCAGAATGCGTACACATTTTTAAGAAAAAAGTTAAATCCTCATTATTTGCTTATTATATTTAAAATCAAATATTACTTATTGAAAAAACCTTACATGCAACATATCCAACCTATCTGCTTTCAAACCTTAACGAATGGAAATAAATGTCAAACTATACAGGGATTTGTTAGAACTCTGATTTTAATAACAGTTGACAACTCTAGTTGCATTTTTTTTTAAGTTATGAACTGCATTGAATAAACTAAATACACCAACGTGTAACGTACACAATTGTTAATAACAAAGAATACATTTAGTAACTACTAACACGTCTATCTGGTGTTAGTTCAATACAATATACGAAAATATGTAAGGCTGGACATGCAGATTTAAGGGACTTACCTGTACAGAGAAACAGCAGGTAACACGCAACCTTCAACCACGACACTTCCATGTTGTTGACCCGTGCTATATGAGAAGTAAATCTGTGTGCGGATATAATATACCCAGGTAGCGGATGTCGGTCTAATATCTAGAACGCGGATATTTATAAATCATGGGAAGCTTATCGGTTTTAAGTCCTGCTATCAATTTGGTAAACATTGACTAATTTATCAGAGAACGTTTTTCCTCAAACGATAAACGAAAGTGTTTTGTCGGAAATCTGTAAGTTGATTTCCAGGTAAGACACTTCATTTAGAAAATAAAACTAAACTAATTGTTTCCGTAAGTGCTTGGCATTGATTTTTAGTGGAAAAGCAGAAAAAAAACCCACAGAGATGAAACATAAACTGTCTAATCCTAGATTTGGTAAATATTTCGAAACAAAAATATTATGACCCAGGCTTATAGAAGTTTAAAAATAGAAAAAGACGGATACATAAATTGACAATGCTAAGCTAACCATGTGTATATAAGGTGATTTAAACCGGGTAAATAATGGGGAATCCTTACCTAGACTAGGTAAGTATGACAGGTGAGTAGGGTGGTCTGATTGGATCGACCATCGGAATGTCATAAGGATAGGAAATCCTCTAGAAGGGTATCGAACAGATACTTGTGTAAAGTAGGACACCTATAGCGTGTGGTTTATTTTCTGATAAACCGTTTATCGCGGGTTTCCATGCTGATTAACTCGCTTTGATATCTCATCGTCTGTATTTGCGCCGAATCTGCCTTCCAATTTCCAAATTTGGTTAATGTTGTTCTTGTAAAATGATGTTGTGGTAATTTTGTCTTTGTATATTTAAAGTGTGATTAATAGATTCTTCCCCTACCTTGAGGGGGTGACAGAGAAATCGCCTATCCGAGGGGTGATATGTTTGGCTTGTCCAACCCGACGCTCTAACTAGGGTTAAACAATAAAAAAATCACCCCAAGGGTTGGTTATCTCTCTGTTGCACACTCAAGGCAGGGGAATATTTTTTCCCATCTAATTATTTCAGTCACAACTCCACCGACAGTTATAATAATGATAATAATAGTCTTTATTTAAACTTGATTACATATTGAGTCAAAGACTCGTCTCCCATATGGTCAAGCATATTAAAAAATGTACATTAGTCTGCCATGTTTGTAAACACAAGCACATGTAGGGTATGAATATCCTCATTCACTTTTGATGACGTCACAATTACCAGTGACACATTTGTATGACGTCATTAGCACGAGACTATCTCCCCTTAGGGGATCACAAATTGATCTTTTCAAGCTAAAACGGGAGACACACATGTGAAGGGTTTGGAGAAATATTCTGTCTTTGTGTGTTGACTATGGGGTTTGTGTCGTCCTTGTACAATGATGATGGGGTGATTTTGTCTTTGTATATTGGCTGTGTGATATATTTTGTCTTTGAGTTGACGATATGCTGTATCTTGTTCTCGTGTGTTGACGATTAGGTATTATTTTTTCATGTGTGATGAATATGCAGCATACACGTTTGTCTGTTTGTGATGATGGTGTGATTCCTCTATTTATACTTCTTTACCTCCTGAAAACAATTAATTGCTTACTGATTTGTCATCAACCAAATGATTATTTTCTGTCATTGCGTTTTGAGAGTTTTAAAAGTGTATATTTTTAGTAAGGAAAAACAAATAACCATGTTTTTGATTGTTTACTGAAAATTGCAAGTGATGGGGCGGGGCGGATAGGGTTGAATGCCACTATCCTTTGTCGGAAATCATCAAATACATTGTCTACTGTCATTTCAATCAAGCAAGAATTAATTTTCTTCCCACTTTATGGTTCTGGATGAATTTTAACATGGATATGGATGGAGCTTTTGCCTTTGATTTGGTGCAATTTACATAATAGCATAACTTTTAAGAGACAGCGAAATATCAATAAAAACTCTGAAAACATTAGAAATCTCCACTTAGGTCGTTCTGTTTGTCTCACGTGTCTCTACAAACAGGTTGTGGATCATGTGGTGTTCCACATACTGTCTATTTATGTACAGTGTTTACCAATTTTGATTTAGAAGTTAAATGTACGTTTTTTTAATCTTACAGCGAACTGAAGTAATCCAAATGTTTGTATACATATATGAAGTTGACCTAAATCCCAAATTCTGTATAAGTTTATATGTATTTGAATTTTATCTAATATTTTCTATATAAGCAGGAACTGGTTTCAGTTGGCACATACACAAATTGCCAACTGAAGCTGTTCAACAAGTATATTTACCATTTCGATATCTCAGAAGAAAAATAAATTAACTGATCAATATCGTGCATTTAGTCAAAAAAGGAACTTACTCCTTATACCTGTTCAATTAATAGAAAAGTCATCTGTCCAGGAAAGGCCATTGATATCAAAATAATGATAACGTCAACAATTAGGGTATGGATATAAATGTCATTAAAATGTGGTAGGATTATATTGTGGCAATGCTATTAGATATACTATATCTATAGATATTTGATTTTCATCTCTCGCTTCACATGGTGTGTATTGACTTTGATCTCTTATTTTATATACGTTTATGACTTTGCTCTCGCTGATAAAATTATAGAAACCGAAATTTGTATATTGAAAAAACGTACAGGAAAGTTTTATCACGAAATAGATGTACCAAGCCTTGGACATATTCTTTAAGTGTGAAATCAAGGATCCCTGTCTCAATGCAGGCAAATCACCAGAAGACTTTATTATAGTTTATTGTATATATAGCAATCTTCTTGATGCCGTTCTGTATGAAATAATTATATCTTTAGCACATTTTTGTCCGGATACTAAAAGCTTTGTAAATTTCATCTTTATTATTTTTCATAAACGTTTTCTTTTTAGAATTCATTTCTTAAAGCTAAAGTCATGCCGGAAAATTCAAATGCAAAGTAACAGTTTTAGCCAGAGGTACAAGGATCTTTAATGCAATATTTTGTTATTATACACGGCAGATCATTTCATGTTCCTATATTGAAATAATGAAATAAACAACTATAAAGCATTCACAGTATGCTATTATTTTTATTTAGAAACAGAATTTCAAATCTGCATTAAAGGATATATTATTTTAAAATAACTGTTTCACTTTCACATTGATACAAAACCAACAGAACGACATACGTCCGCGTTATCAGTAAATTCCCTCGTTTAGTGTAGCGATAGGCAAATTTATTACGACCTTCTTATAAAGCTATATATCAGCAACTACAGCTAGCACATCAGGTTTGTATTGACTTAAACAACATTGTCCCCATACTTCAATCAATATGTCCCATATAATCTGTTATGTATTGCTTAGCTTAAGATAGCGATAAAACCCTGATGCAATAATATATGAGAATTGTGCAATGTATCACTGGTTTTCAAAAACGATATGTAGGCAAGAATATGTTGAATAATCATATTTGTAAGCAGCAAAGATATATCTTAGTATTTTTTTCTTTTTTTCTTTTTTGGATATAGCAAAGGTGTTTATTGTCAATGATTTATCTTTAATGTAAGTGTACAATGTAATATGCATTGAGCTTAATTATTATTTGAAAAGTAATTACGAACTTTATCAAGAGTAAAGTATAAAAAGCTACACAAGAATAAAATAGAAACTAGACAAGGATGAAATAGAAACTACACACGGATTAAATAGAAACTACACAAGAATAAAACAGAAACTACACAAGGATAGAACAAAAACTACACTAGATAAAATAAAAACGCTGCATGGCTTATATATAAACTACACAAGGATAAAATATTAACTACACAAGGATGAATAGAAACTACACACGAATAAAATAGAAACTACACAATGATTAATATAAATTATACAAGGATAAAATAGAAACAGTACAAGGATAAATTAGAAACTACACACGGATAAAATAGAAACTACACAAGGATAAAACAGAAATTACACAAAGATAAAATAGAAACTACACAAGGATAAATAGAAACTTCACAAAGATAAAATAGTAACTACACAGGAATAAAAAAGAAACGACACAAGGATAAAAAAATACAGAAAGATAAAATAGAAACTACCTAAAGATAAAACAAAAACTACACACGGATAAAATAAAAACTCCGCATGGAATATATATACACTACACAAGGATGAATAGAAACTACACACGAATACTTTTTTTTTTACACAAGGATAAAATAGAAACTACACAAGTATGAAATCTTAACAGAGTCTATTAAAATAACCAAAAACAAAACACAGGAACTGAAGATATAATATAATAGAGTGAAAGACCATTTACCACCACAAACTGCTGAGGGGAGACAATATTCTTCTGACGGTGTATTTGTCCATCAGCAGGACGTACCAGAAGACTTAATGTTTAATGGAATCTAGTCAAATAATGTAAAGATACATTTAAGGAGTCGAGGTTCAATCTGAGCTACATCGTACATTAAACACTAAATATATATCTCTACTGTTTGGCATTTATTTTGTTTTGTTTCAATGAAATGGCTGATATAAAGCTGTCACAAATTAAAGGATACGACAGCTGGTCTAGTGTAGGCTTCTGTTTGACAAACAAAACCCAAAATAAATAAAATAGAAAAGCAAGCTATAAATAAGAAAAATAAACAATAAGGAAGTAGAAAGAGTAAATTATAAAAACACATGAGCAATGGTATTTTTATAAGGGGCGGATGTTTATTCAAACAAAGTTAAAGATGTACATGGTTGACTTAGCTTTTGAAAGTCGGATTATAAATTACACAATGTACACACTGATCAATGATAAATCAAGGAAGTTATAGGAAGTCACATGATGGAATACAGAAGGTTATTGTGAACTGACCTACTGCTCTAGTGTGGTACTGTGAACTTCCCCTTAGTCTAGTGAGAGGGAAACTTTGCCCCAACTTAAAACACACACTGATAAGTATACCGCAACCTTAAAAACACACTGATAAGTATACCCCAACCTTAAACACACACTGATAAGTATACCGCAACCTAAAACACACACTGATAAGTATACCGCAACCTAAAACACACACTGATAAGTATACCCCAACCTAAAACACACACTGATAAGTATACCCCAACCTAAAACACAGACTAATAAGTATACCCCAACCTTAAACACACACTGATAAGTATACCCGAACCTAAAACACACACTGATAAATATACCCCAACCTAAAACACACACTGATAAATATACCCCAACCTAAAA